AAGCAATGGCATGAACTTCAGTATGTGCTTACATAAAAAACTCGTGCTACACAAGATCATTGCATAGGCTCTAAAAAATCATACTCCATTCTAATTGTCTATGTAACAAACTTATTTGATAAAAAACAAGCAAAGAAGGGATGCTCACCTCACATTATAAATAAAGGGCAAGCCTAAAGAAGCCCAGAGAAACTGAGAGCTCGGAACCAGCCAAACTATGTTATCCAATATGAGATTGAGGACAGCAAGCTGAACTTGTATAGACGAAGAGTGATTGTAGTGTATCAACATCACAAATAGCTGTTTGATTAATGTAAAAAATGCAAGGGCCCACATTGAGCTAATATAAAATCATAGGGCAACACATGCTGCCCTACATTTCAGATCAAGATCAATACAATTTAATTCCCTCCTATAAACAAACACAAGATTGACGATTTACATAATAAAGAAATCCTACACTCAACTAAACTATCGATCAAGGCCTCCAAGGACTAACTGGGTTAATGTGCAAATTATGAGAGTAGCAACCTTTGACTCCACTCCCAGTCCCACTGAACTAACTGGTGCATGAACACATTTCAGAACACCCAATCCATCATATCTGCAACAGCAGAGACAGCGGGAAGGAACTCACGTTCTTATCACACCCGGGTAGGAGATGTTGGCGTCGTAGTGCTGCGCGCCGATGACGGTCTCGATGCTGTCGGCGATGAGATCGTAGGACTGGAGGCTATAGCACATTCCGCGGGTGCCCATGGTTTACAAACCTGTGAACCATTTGTGAGCTGACTGGAGAGCATGTACTATCGGTGTAAGAAGACCAACTGATTCTGAGGAAAACAGGCAGCAGCCTCTTTGATCACCTGTGTTGTAATCAAGTTGGCTGCCCCACGGTAAGCAAGAAACATGAAATTTGGAAAGGATATTTTGTTCTACACTGCAATAGAAGTGACGGCGTCTATGGCTTTGTTTGGTGCATGTAAAGTTTCAGTAGCCTAGACGCATATAGTGTGTATTTTCCGGTAATCAATTGGGCATTATGGATTGTAGATTTAGGTTATATAGAGTTCTTGTTAGAAACAAAGCTTGACGTCAGCTAGTATTGAACTTCTGTTGCCCTACCAGTCTGTACTCAGTTCAACAGGTTAAAGACTTGCAGGTAACCATAAACTTAGCAGAAATTCAGAACTTTCGAAGTTGTGGATTCTTGAAGAGCTACAATTCTCTAGCCAATTGCAACAAGCATGATTGCATGAACCGATTTTTTTCATCAATTTGACGTTGAGAAAAAGCAACACAAAAGTGTGGCCTCTGTAAACTTGTTTAATCACCACGAAAACAGTAAAAATTGAGATAAAATGAGCAGGGCATCTCTCGCCGCAAATTGGGGAGAGAGAGAGAAACAGTAAGGGAGAGGCAGAGAGATACCAGCCTCCTGTTGAAGTGCGACTGCACAGCACGTCGACGAAATAGTGCCTCACACAGCTCACCGCCGTCACGCGACGCGTCGCCGCCTTCCTTCCTGGGAGAGGTTCTGGCCCTGTGGGGAATGACGGCAGCGAGAGCAGCTGCCGCGGCCTCGGCCCTGGGTTGGGCGCCACGCGCCGCCGTGAGGAGCTCGGTGCTCGGAGCCGTACCCGCGATACAAAGCGACGTGCACGGATTAGCACAGGGAAGACCAAGGGACGAACGCACCTGGTGGTGTGAGGGTGCGAGGGCCGTGGCATTGGAGAGGCGGCGGCACAGCACACCGCGCGCCCCGCCGCGGCCTCGCCTAGCCTAGAGGCAACGAAGTCTATGTGAATGGCGACGCACCGGCCATCCCTGCCCCTGCCCCTAAAACACAGCCTCAGATCCAGCGCGTTCCTTTCCCCTTCCCCCTCCCCGTCCGTCCTCCTCTTCCCGCACCGCCACGAAAGGCGCCGCCTGCTCCCTCGGCGGCCCCTCCACGTCCACGTCCGCATCATGGCGTCCTGCGCGGCCGACGGCCTGGTCTGGCGTGGTTGGCGGTCTGCGGAGTGGCCTCGCGTGGGGGTTGTGCTACTTAAGGGAAGGGGGAAGGGGACGGGGAAGGAGGAACTGGAGGGCGGCGCAATTGGTTGGACGAGCGGGGAGGAGATGGGCGGCGCACTTTGATTCTGAGAGGGGGAAGGGGAAGGGGACGGGGACGGGGAAAAGGGCGGCGAGCGGGGCAGATGGGAAAATTTTGTGAGATGAGCAGGGTAACGAAAGACTAGGGTTTACATATGATGGGCTTGTGGGCCTTGAAATTTTACCGCGAACGGCCTTAAATTTTCACTTCTTCTGCACGATGCAGAGCCACGGTCTATAGCCTCCTTTACCGTTCTATTCCAATCCACCGTTTGACGGTATAGGTAAAAACTTATACCGGCCAATGATTTATTAGAACAAGTACATGTACCGACTCTTAGTTTGTGGGAGAGTTATACCGATCAACAGTTTAATGGTGATAATGAACTTATAACGACACACATGTGACGCTATATTAGTGTTGTGGTGTAGTGACCTATAAGAGGGGCAAAACAAACATTTTGAGCTTCCATTAGCTGTCGTTCGTCCAAAAGGTAACGGTAGTGGCATTGTAGGGGTAAAAAAACTTGGAGTAGTGGCACATTTGACATTGTAACATTTCTGGTGGCAAATAAGGAATTGAGAACTTTTTTAATGGCTCACATGGAATTCTCTCTACAGAAACTAGGTTCTCTATGCATGTTTTTTTTCAAAAAAAAATTTGAATCCCTTATCTTATCTCCATCTACCTATCACTCCTCTTGCTATCTTATTTCTAGTGTAAACACATTTTAATAAGAAATCATTTTCTTTTTTTTCCTACTTAATATTAATGCCATATCACCATCTAGCTTACTTGGCTTCCTACTTAATGAGTTAGAAATTGTTAAGGCCGATCCTGGTTACACATCAGCAAGGCCCAGCACGTCCGAGGTCGCACTCGACCTATCACGCAGTGAGGATGCCCCAAAATCAGTAAAACCAACTAGTGGCTCGATAGAGCCGATTTGAAGCCCATTCTTCTCAGGAAGACCCTTTAGCGAGGAGCACATCGAGGTTGTTCTAGGATCGGCAATGCCACCTAAAATGCCGCTTAATCGCATCGAGAGATGGATAAAACAGCAGGGGGCGGAAAAGTTAGGGTAAAGGGAAAAAAAGGTAATAGATTTTTTTACGATTGGAAGTTAAATTCCTTAATCGGTCATTATCCTCTAATATATAGAGAAAGGTGGTCTTATCCCATTAGGGACACACATCCAAGACGCAATTTACAATTTTTCCACGTCAAAACACAAGTCTGGCTCAAGTTAGACTTGGACCGGTCTCGGAAAAATTAGCTTAGTCAGATCCTAAAACCGGCCAAGCCAGTTTTCCATGATGCTGGCGGTATGAAATAGAAGGGCCAATGAGACGAACATTTCAATTTATGAAACAAATACATTTTTTACACAATTTATTTAGTAGTACTTGTGTTTCAATCACAATACGGACGGTGAGTATATAGTGCCTTGTAGCCTCAAAGGCACAGTAGGATAGTGACCAGCCACCAGCCCCCAGCCTTGTCATTTTTCCTTCTTTACAGGTCACAATGAGACACAAAACTAAAGCATTACACAAGAATGTCTCTTTTTTTGGTCGTGTAAAGTTCCAGTAGATGTTTTTCTCCCGAGACATTGACCATGAATGGCGAAGTACCAAAAGTTCATCACATGTTTGTATACGAATACAACTAAGGCCCCGTTCGATTCCTGGGGACCCCAGGAACCATTCCCGGCCGGATTCATTACTAAAGTTTATATAAGCATTCCACAGCCGGAATGCTTCCAGGGCCGGATTTGCTCTAAACGAACGAAGCCTAAAGGGAGAGGAACAGGACGCTCTGTCACAGATGCTTCTATGCTAGATGGAATCTTCTGTAACCCAACACCTGCCTTTGTTTCCTTGCTGCTATTGTGTCCTGTTCCTTGTGCAAAATACGTGTCCGGTGACCAACGAACCACAGTTCTATGTTATGATTACTATCAATACTATTTTTTTAATCAGGCCTGATTAATCTTGTGCATCATGAGAAGAACAACTTTTGGATTTCATTACTAAATACTCAACAACATTTTCCATGCATATAATTGAATGTTCTTAACATCATTAGTCGGATTCCTAATAATGTGCCGACCTGACAGAGCAACTACTTTTTAATTTGTGTTAGTAGATTATCATTTAGGTAGATCAAACCTAAAAGGGAATTTTATAGACACGACAGGCGTGCAAACATATCATTGCCGCGATGAAAGGTTGCGAACCATGTCAGTTCCGCTCATCATGCAACCGTAGGACTTTTTGCTGCTGTGCCAGCAGTTTGGTACTTTGTTGGCTGGGAGATAATAAAAAATAGCTACGTCTAACCCCGGCTTCGTTGTCCGGATGAGATAAACAAAGTAATCATGCATCATAGCAAGACGCTAAAAGGGGTTAGGATTCTACATAGGAGTAGTTGACACCAGCTCACACAAAGCTTAAAAGACTAGTATGATGCAGGCAACAAACAATGTAAGGTACCAACAGAAAACTAAAGCATCCAGCAGCTGTTACCAAAAGCATGAAACATCACATGTATATAAAATTTCATCAACTTGATGTCTATAAGGCTAAACATCATTACATTACATTACATTACATTAGATTAAATTGCAAATTCGTGGGGAAATGCAAGAAAGCATCTTCTTTTCGCCTTTTTTGTTTTCTTGGGCTCTGCTGAGCTGGAAACTTTCAGCCTGAGGCGATTAGCGTGTAAGAGTCCTGTTTCTATGCACGGGTGTATGTACAATCATGGAGAATTTCCAATGATTGGATCCCAACCCAGTTTGTTATGTGGCCCTACGCCAGACATGCCCTCTCCCCATTGATCATCTCATGCCTTGATTGGTGACCGGTGAAACTGAACTGTCCCTCAATCAGACCACCAATGATCACGTATTGCCGCGGAATCCCATCAGGACTAGACTTTGGAGATCATCCTCTTCCCACAAGCTCCCCATCTGAAATTCACGGCAAATGTCACATTTTTACTTTGGCGTGTCAATGGTGGTAGTGCGATCTACATTTTGAAGTGGATCGCAGAACGATACGAAATAAACGAGTGTAAACAAAATTTGATGTACCTGGGGATTTGCATTTTGAAGTCCTTCAAGTGACCGGTCCGTGATGGCATTTGTCACAACACTCTGCGCAGCGGTGCCTGGAGACGAGGTGTAGCAGAACGCCGAGCTCGAGCCCTCAAGTGCGTAGACTGGTGGCAGTGGCTGTGCCATGGAGGACGTCGCAGGCGCACACAGCTTGTTGGCCTGCATTATACATAATTGTCAAGAAATGGACAACACAATCAAGACCTGTTTCAAGTGGTAAGGAGGAAACTACGTCTTTGGGGATGAAGCTATCCACGTCGAGTTCGAGGCGCGGGTTGACGGTCGACAGATTCATCGACAAGAACTGTTGCGAAAGCAAACCATTATGCTCAAATTCAGAAGAATTCGTATGTTCTTTAAAAGAAACTCTGTTATGTCCGATGGAGAGGAGATCATACGCACCTCCACTTGGCGTTGCAGCGACTGCACGTAGTTTATGATCTCATCAAGCATCACGGCCTTCCCGGTTACCTTCATGAGGAATCTTTGAAAATTATCCTCTGGGTGAAATATGTGTGCATTTCAACCAAAATTTGACCAACTTTCGTCGATATTTACCTTGCTGCAGCCTGGCACGAGGTCTTGCAGCAGCTTCATGCGCTCGCTGATCTTTTCCCTCCTCACCTGAAGAGAGTCAGTGACGGCAATCATCAACAACTAATGTTTTTCTAAGAAATGCTCAATGGAAGCATAGGTGTTCGCCGGCGGCGTACCCGCTCGGCGAGGCTGTGGCTGTCGGTGGCCTGGCCCCGGCGCGCGCGCACGTGGATATAGTCCTTGGGTGGCTCTGCCGCCACCTCCTTCCCCTTGCCATTGCCATGCCATCCCTCTCCGGTCGCCGCCAGCTTCTGCTCCTCGCCATGCGCGGCGTCTGTGGAGAGCTTGCATTTCTTGGCTCTCGTCTCTGTCTCCCGGGACTTGACAGTTTCCGACATTTTCAGAGACGTGAATGACAGAGGTGTAAAAATGGCAAAACAGAGATGGTTAGTACCTTGGGTGTAGCCGTGGTGACCACGTCCTTGGCCTTGCACTTGCCGCCCGACGCCTTCCGCTTCCGGCAGGGGCCATCCCTACACGACCCGTCGCTCGCGTGCTGTTTAACAGCGCCAGGCGTGAGCGCGGGCGCCGGAGCCTGCTCGCCGAGAGGCGACTGGCTGCTGGCCACGCGTGAGAGCTTCCCACTGGAGACCGGGAAGCACGATGAGTGCCTCGCGGCGCGCTCCGCAAGCACCGCGTCCCCGGCGAGCGCGCACGGCGCCGCCGGCTTGGAGGGGGAGCCCACCGGCGTGCTGTGGCAGGACGCGTACCGGGATGACGGCGGCGACGGCACGCTGACGCCGAGCCTGCTCGCAAGCTGTTCCATCAGGGCGGCCTCAACAGCATCTCCTCCGGCTGCGGCCGCCGCGAGCGACGACGGCGACGGCGATTGCGACTGCGACGGCACGACCGCGCCCACCGCAGCGTCGTGTTCCCACCCCGCACCGGCGCCCATAAGCGCGTGCGGCACATGTACCACTACCCGCAGGGGGTCGAACGGCGCGGCGCCGGCGGCTGCAGCATGATCGAGCGGCCAGGATAGGTCGTGGAATCCCCCGAGGAAGCCGTCGTGCGCCATCGCTGCTTGCTGCCACGACTCCACAAACGCAAAGCAGGGGGTGCCTCCTCGAGCTCCTCACTGCGTAAATGTATGTGCGCGCGCGAGTGCGTGCGTGTGTGCCGGCGCGAGGACGGCTGTGGTGGCGGAGAGTGCGCGTTGTGGTGCGGAATTAGTGGGCGCTTTAGCGGTTGCGCTTCCTCCGGGTGGGGTGGTGCGCGATCTCTAGCCTAGAGACTAGAGATGAAATAGGTGGGCAGCGGAGGGGAAGTAGAAGGACAGGCCATTTTGATTTTGAAGAATGTTTTTTTAAGGGGAAAATGGAGAGGACGATCACAAAGATCTCTTTGAAAGGAGAAACTGGATGGGACCGTTTCTGGATCGATGTCCCTTGGGTGCCAGTTGTCGATGGAGTGTGTGTTTGTCGATTTCGAGCCATTTGAGACTTTCAGGTTTGAAGTTTCATTATGTCAATTAAGAAAAACAGTATGGTGTATTGGAGTTCCGTAGTCACAGTAGAAAACAATTCTCAGTCTTTGAATTATATCGTGAGTAATTTAGGCCTTGTTTCGTAGCATTTTTTTATAATAGTTTCGCATAAGAAACCAAGGAAGATATAGAAGTTCAGGTGACTTCACCTTTCTATAATAAGAAACAACTTCTTCTCTCTGCGGTTTTTATCGAACAGTCATTTCATGAGTAAGTTGTGACGATGATGGATAAGGACTTGATGCTGTCCTCAGCTCCGTCTGCACAGCGCTGCCAGTAGAGAATAGCAAGAGAGCGTCCTGCCACGATTGGCTGCCTGCGAACGAGAGACAGGGAGACACGAGGGAGAAGAGAGGATACCAGCGAGGAGGAAAGAAATCAATCTATTACTCATAGTCTTTCATGTCGTTTAGAGCAACTCCAGCAGTACCACCTAAATTAGGGTCTCTATTTCTTATTTGGGTGCTGCCCCTTACTTTTGTTGGCCTAAAATTTTGTTTCTACTCCAGCAGCACCACCGAAACAAAGGCCCCCAAACCCATATCAGCTGGCAATGACAAGAGGGACCCACTCGGCATTGGGTCAATCCTTCCTTCCCCTCTCCTTCACACACAGGCAAGCGCGGGGAGGAGCGCACGGAGAAGCGCATTGCCTGGCTGAGCGCTGGGAGGAGCGCGTGGCCAAGGCATCAAGGTTGTGACCACCGGACGAGAGACGGAGCGTGCGGCAGCCGACGGGAAACCACCGCCACGGGCGACAGGGTGGAGGCCGCACACGGAGGAGCTCGGGGCGGCGAGGTGGAGCAAGATCTCGTGGAGGAGCTCGGACGGGAGGAGGAGCAGCGGGCCTAAGGCCTTGGCGACCGAGCTCGCCGACAAAGGTGGTGCTCGCCAACCGGAGGGAGGAACCGGATCTCGCGACCTTGAGGACCGGATCTCGACGACGAAAGGGAGAGAGGGAGGAAGGAAGGAGCGGGCCTAGGGCCATGGCGGCTGAGCTCGCCGGCGAAGGGTGGTGCTCATCGGCTAGAGGGAGAGAGGGAGGAGCCGGAGGGAGAGAGGGAGGAGCCAGATCTCGCGGCCTCGACGAGTTGGATCTCGCCCACGCGGTTCCGTATGGCCGCGGGGAGGAAACGGCCGGATGGGGGCCGGAGGGATGAGCCAATGAGAATGGGGTCTAGAGGAGGAATTTGGGTGCCTAGCCAAATTTCGAGGTCCGAGTAGGGGCCCTGCTGGAGCACTTTTTTTGACCTAAGCCCCCATATTTAGCTATGGGGGCTCAAGTAGGGGCCCTGTTGGAGTTGCTCTTACAAAAGCCACCATATTAAGAGTCCCTAAGCCAACCAGCTAAGGTAGAGAATCTTCTACAACTAAAAAGAACAAAAGTAAGACTATTTTTTGTGCGACTTTTTTTTTGTCGCTCCTCCCTTCCGATCGTGCAATATCCCGCGTGATAGAAAAAGAAACTGTCATCCCTACGATCGTCGCCTGCTTTGAAGAAAATAAATCGATCACCTGAGGCCACGTGCATGGAAGGAAAACAATAATCATGAATGCAGGTTATATATGGTGAGACTGGTGAACCTTCTGTAATTTCATAAACGAATATTCTCATCATTAATATATAGGTCCATTCCCCTGCGTATCTTCGTGCTCCCATTAGCATATAATATGAAAGTATTGTTGTGTTCATCATGACTTTCAGTTGACTACTCCCATTAGCATATACTTCCTCTGCCCCAAAATATAAGTCGTTATGGGATGCGTGCAGGTCAAACTTTCTCAACTTTGACTAGGTTTATAAAAAATACGTGCAACATTTATATCTTCAAATAAGTTTATTATGAAAATATATTCAATGGTCTATGTAATGATATTAATTATGTATTATAAATATTAATATTCTTTTATATATAATTGGTCGAAGTTAAAAAAAAAGTTAATTTCTCAGGAAGCAAGAATGAATTCTATTTTGGGACAGATGGAGTATATGAAAGCAGTGTTGAAAATATTTTAACAATCAAGTTTGTCTCTGTCTGATTGGTAAGCTTAGACATCATAATGGTATCAAAAATTTCGACTCTCATGGACACCCTCATGGATCAGTGTAAAGCATCTCAATCCTACATCATACACAAATGACAACCTTAAAATTATGATATTTTTAAAGGGTAGACAATAAAGACCATCTTAGATGTTCTGGCATTAGAGTATATACGTGCAGACATATAGGCATGGTGGTACAAGTGAGCAACCAGCAGGAGTCGAGAGTTAGGGAGTGTTTGGATCCCAGGACTAAACTTTAGTCTTTGACACATTAAATTTTTAGATATCAATTAGAAGGACTAAACATGAGCTAATCATAAAACTAATTACATAAGTTGTGGCTAATTCGCTTGCCAGCGCCGTGTACAGGATGGTATGGAGATGTGGTGGAACTTATTCATTGATTTGTTGGCACACGAAAGAAATGGATATCGAAAATCTCTTCCTGCCGGTATAAAAAATTATCTTAGCCGCATCACGGAAAGATCTACACAGTAGAGTTTGTGAGCCTACGACGCCATGCTCTCTGTGACTGTGTAAATTTCACGAACTTAGCTTTTTAGATTAAATGTCACTTTAACGTCGGTCATATACTTTTACAGTATTGTTATCTTATCGTGTGATCCATGTGTTTTTAGTATAAAAGTTTAGCTGTCCTGTAGCAACACACGGACACGAACCTATTTACATATATACTCGAACCTGTGTGTACATGATTATATGGAGATGCAGCGGAACTTATTCATGGATTTATTGGCGCATGAAAGAAATGGATATCGTAGAATTCTTTCTGCCGATATAAAATATTATCTTAGCCGTATCCCAAAAAAGTTTATACAGTAGAGTTTGTGAGCCTGCGACGTCACGCTCTCCGTGACTGTGTTAATTTCATGAACTTTGTTTTTTGAATTAAATATCACTTTGATGTCGGTATTTAATTTAACAGTATTGTTATCTTATCATGCGATTCGTGTGTTTTAGTACAAAAGATTTAGTTGTCCCGCAGCAACGCACGTACACGCTATCTAGTAACAACTAAGAGCCCAAGTTAAGTTCGGGGTGAAAGCCATGCGTGGTCACCGCAACCTCAACATGGGATTTTTTTGTTTTTAATCCCTTTTTAATCAATATTTTAATAATAACCGTAGTAAAAAAAGAATAAGCACATCTAGACCCTCGCGGCAGCACCACTCTGTCGCACCACATGCACTTGCGCGACAAGGGGTGCCATGCTGTCGGCGACCGACGATCCGAGCTGCCGTGGCGGAAAAGCAGTAGGCCTTGTCGCGCTAGGCGGGCTGGCGTGACAGGCCGATATAGGGTTTGTCGGCCCGGCCCACTTTCTTCTGTCTCTCCTTTCCTTCCCCACTCGACGCGCACCTAGGCAAGCCGGGTGCCGCTGCCGCCTCTGCCTCCCCACCTACCCGCACTAGCGCCTACACCACCCGCCGCCCGTTTCCCCACCGCAGGTCAGTTGAACGGCTTCATTTTGTGAGCCACCATCTGCTAGCTAGAGTGTCTGTGCGAGGGATGCAACCCCACCGTGTCCCCACTTCCCCGTGCCAACTTCACTGTTCGTCGGCCACCCCACCGCCTTTGAATGGAGCGGCGTGCTCCGGTGACCGTCTAACAGGTCCAGGTACGACTTTTACCCCTCGATTTATTGATGTGGTGGCTCTGTCGACGAAATCTAGTCGGCAGTCTACCGAGGTGTATACCCACGGTAGTAAATGATTGGTGGAGGTGCGCGTAATAAGAACCGGATGGTGATACGGGCGCAGAGACAACGATTTAGACATGTTCAGGCCGTTTGATCGACGTAATACCCTACGTCCTATGGCTTTGGTGGATTGTATTGAATATGAGATGCATTCGAGGGGGGTGCCTACCCACCTTATATAGTCTAGAGGATAGGGATCTATTCGGCTATATGGTAAGTATTTAAAAGGAATACGATATCTATCATATCCGAACAGATCTTCCTTCATCACCAAGATGTCTTCTGATTGTCTTGCGGTGCACGCCAACTAGAGTCGAGCACCGTAGGCCTTGATCTTATAGGCTGGACCTCCCTGGTGGTGCGGCCCATGTCCATTGCCGTGGGTACCTGAGGTTATACCCCCCATAGCTAGTCCCCGAGCGCCTTTTATCCGCTGAGCAACGCCGTCTTGAGCAGGTCCAAGCAGTTTAACTTGGAGTCAGACAGTTAATCTAGCAATCTGACCAGTTTAACTGATAATCCAATCAACAAAATAAAGTGCCGACCAGTTTGACTGGTAATTCGACCAGTTTAACTGGTAATCCTATCAACAAAATGAAGTGTCGACCAGTTTAACTGGTCAACAGGCCTCGAACATACTCAAGTAAGGCTTGCCAGAAGGATGTAAGGAGCTCAAGTTTAAAATTTAAAAAATTCTCCACCTTAGGTGAAGTGTACACACTTAGGCTTCGTTGACAAAGTCAGATGATCATCATCCATGACTTAGT